GGAAGGAAGGAAGGAAGGAAGGAAGGAAGGAAGGAAGGAAGGAGAGAAAAAGAGAAAGATTAGAGGACTTACAACCTAGGCCATGTTTGGTGGATTTCAAAGCAGGAGTGGTATTCTACTGGTTTGGCACGGTTCGGCACGGTTCGGCTGACCTGGTAGCACCAAGGATCATCTGTGAGCGAACCAGTTTGCTCCAACGATCATCTGTGGGCCTACTGACCAGGGGTGGGAATTCCAAAAAATTCCCACCACCGGTTCTGTGGGCGTGGCTTGGTGGGCATGGCTGCAGAGGTGAGATCGCACAACTCACGCAACCCGTGCGATCGCACACGCGCGCACCAACCACACGCTTTGCACACGCATGAAAACAGGAAAAACTGAGCGACTGCCTCAAACAGCCGAGCGGTTTAAAAGGAACGAGGAGGAGGGGGTGGGTGGGTGGCCCCAACTGCAAAGCATCGGAGAGAAGCCGATGTTCTGCCAGCTGATCTTCGGTGCTACCGGAACGCCAGAACCAGGCCAAACCGGTAGAATACCACCACTGCTACTGAGTTTTATTTCCTGGGTTTGAAGCTCAGCTGTTTCGCGCGGCGCAGTAGATTGCCATGCACACCAGCTGTTTAACACACAGGAGGAGTGCAGGAGTAAGTCAGTAGTAAACCCTCTGCATGCGCGCACAAAGCACACCCACCAAGCCACGCCCACAGAACCGGCGGTTTAAAAAATTTTCAATCCCACCAGTTTTCAAACCTGTTTAAATGCTGCGGGGGTCAGCAGAGAACAGATTGGGAGGGGGAGGGGGACTAACTGGACCGCCAAGTTTGCAAAAGGTCTCTTGGGAAAGTGGGCTAGGACTCGGGTTGAGAGGCTTCCAGAGCCGTTTTTGGTAGCAATTGTAAGGTTCTAGTAGCCCCAGGGAGAACTCAAGGTATGGTCCCTGATCCAGAACGGTTCCACAGTTCTCAATTCAAGACGTTCCTCTTGATTTTGGAAGGGTGCCCCATTGAAGGCCGTGCGGAACAGAGGTGGGATTCAGCAGGTTCTGGCCAGTTCTGGAGAACTGATAGCGGAAATGTTGAGTGGTTTGGAGAACCGGCCAATCCCACCTCTGACTGGCCCCGCCAACCCCATCTCTTCACTGCCTCCAAGTCCCAGCTGATCGGCTGGGTCGCCTTTGGTTGCCCTGCCCAGGAGAACGGAGCTGGAAAGCAGGTTAGTGGGCTGGGGAGAGAATGGAGATTTTGGAGTATATCCTTCCCCTGCCACGCCCACCAAGCCACAACACCCACAGAGCTAGTAGTAAAAAATTTTGAATCCCACCACTGGTGTGGAGGTTCCCTCCAGATCACCCAAGAGAAGAACCCAAAAAAAACCCAAGATGGATGCTTAATAAGGAGAGATCCACCTTCCCTCAGTTGGACCGTCCCTCAGACCTTCAGGTGTCCTAGAGAAGATCTGTTCGTTGGGACAATCCTTCAAGGACTGGAAGATTCTTGATCTTCTGTTCTTTAGGCTAAACGAGTCCGGTTCCTTCAACTGATCTTCATGGGATTTCATCTCCGAACCCTTCACACCATCCGAGTTGCTCTGGTCTGCCCCTCTTTCCCGTTCCTCAGCCTCCTTCTCGAATTGTGGCGCCCAGAACGTTCGACACGACAGGCACAATAGGGGCAACTCAATAGAGAATCCGTACCTGTTGGTCATCTACTCCTTGACCCCTCAACATGGAGAAAGGTGCTTTTTTATTTCCCGAAAGACAAATGGACATTCTCTGTTTTTCTTTTCCCCCTTTGGAAATATTTTGCTTCTCATCCAAGAAGCTTCTCGGATGAGAAGTTCTGAAGCTCTGAAGAAGCTTCTCAGATGAGAAGCAAAATGTTTTCAATGGAGAACAAAAACAACAAGAAAACACTTTTGGGATAACTATGACTTGAATGATTGAGAATCTCCACAGACAGTTTTTGGTGGCCCACACGTGGTCTCATCTGGCCACAACACCATCCCAAAGAGACACAACGGCCAAGTTATTGTACCAAGAGGTCCCTGTCTTCACTGCCACCAACACTGGTTGTCTTTGACTCCATGGCTTTCAGGTTCTCTTTCATTTCCATGTCCCAAGAGATCAGAACTCAAAATAAACCATGGTGGATTCCACCAAGAAACCAGAGGAACATAATGCTGACGAGAAAGGAGAGGATTTGTAGCTCGGGGTTGAAATGAGGTGTCCTTGGTGACCTCTGAGCTTGGCGGGTTCCTTGCAGACGTTTCATTACGTCATTCAGTTGACTAGCACTGATGATGCTACCTAGTTTGGCTCATGAAACATCTACAAGAAAACCACCAAGCTCAGAGAGCACGAAGGACCTCAACTTCCTCCTCCTCTTCATCCTTCCTCCTCTTCCTCTTTCCTCCTCTACACAATCCCCCTTCCATTCTAACCCTGATAACATTACCTAGTTTGGGTCATAAAACGTCTACAAGAAAACCACCAAACTCAAAGAGCACGAAGGACCTCAACCTCCTCCTACTACTACTCTCCATCCTTCCTCCTCCTCCTCCTCCTCCTCCTCCTCCTCCTCTCCACAAACCCCCCTCCATTCTAGCCCTGATGACAGTACCTAGTTTGGGTCATAAAACATCTACAAGAAAAACACCAAGCTCAGAGAGTATCAAGGACCTCAGCCTCCTCCTCCGCTCTTCCTCCTCCTCTCTTCCTTCTCCTCCTCCTCATTGTCTTCCTCCTCCTCCTCCTCCTCCCTCCTTTCCACAAACCCCCTTCCATTCTAGCCCTGGTGACATTACCTAGTTTGGGTAGAAAGTCCAATGGGTTGCTGAACACCCAGATACAGGCAGTTACGTAGTTGACCCTACACACAGAAGGTGTCAGATTTCAACCTTCCTCACCAGCACTGGTCAACTCTGAACAGAATCCGTACTCAACATGGTGTCTGCCAGGACACCTTGTTTAAGTAGGGACTTGCCTCTACCCCCTCAGTGTGACTGGGGGGGGGCTCCTTGACAAAATACCCATCCCACTATGTCCCAATGCCCACCAAGAAGCTTACACTGGTCCAACGTCTGTGGTTTTTTTCCAACATAGACCACCCGGTCCTTGAATGGCTGGGTGGACTGGACATTAACATTGGAACTGCTATAAGTGCGTGGTGCTTGCCATGCGCTAAATCAGGGGTCTGCAACCTTAAGCACGCAAAAGAGCCATTTAGACCTGTTTCCCACAGAAAACACCAGGAGCCTCAACACCTGGGTGGGCGTGGCCAACTCAACATCACTCCCACCTTGTCACAGTTTTGTGGCTCCCGGTGTTTTATGTGGGAAACGGGTCTCTCTCTCTCTCTCTCTCTCTCCCTCTCTTCTTCTCTCTCCCTCATTCTCCCTCTCTCATTCTCTCTCTCTCACTCATTCTCTCTCTCCCTCTTATTCTCTCTCCCTCATTCTCCCTCTCTCATTCTCTCTCTCACTCATTCTCTCTCTCTCTCTCCCTCTCCCTCTCTCTCCCTCTCTTTCTCTCTCTCCCTCTCTTATTCTCTCTCCCTCATTCTCTCTGTCTCACTCATTCTTTCTCTCTCTCTGTCTTTCTCATTCTCTCTCCCCCTCTTATTCTCTCTCCCTCATTCTCTTCTCCCTCTCTCATTCTCCCTCTCTCATTCTCTCTCTCTCTCTCCCTCTCCCTCATTCTCTCTCTTGCACTCTCTCTCTCTCTCTCATTCTTTCTTTCTCTCTCTCTCCCTCTTATTCTCTCTCCCTCATTCTCTCTCATTCTCTCTCTCTC